CGCGCAAGACGTCGACGTCCACCCGCCTACCCGCGTCGCGATTTCAGTAAAAATACAAGTTGTATTTCCGCGTTTGCGATCTCGTGACGTGAAAATCGGATAAAATGAATACGGATAAAAGCCCAAATCGAACGGTCGCCAAGTTCAAGGCGTTGAGCCGCGCTGCGGGAAGACGCCACTCGCCACTCGCCACTCGCCAGTGCGACTCGACGCGCTCGAAAGCTCGCGGTCGCGCGCGGGCGTCGCGGCGCGCATTCGACGCGGAAGCGCGGAACACGGGGCCGTCCGTGTTCTCTCCCGCCATGTCCGCGTCGAACGCGACCCTCGCCGACGAGACTCGGAACGCGGGGGTCCCGGATACGTCGCCGGGCGACGAGACGCCGCTCAGAAAATCGTCCGAGGACGCATATGATTCCACGTCGAGCGGATCCTGCTCGACGCTTGGCGGCCGAAATCGAGAGAACGCGCGCGGCAAGCGTGGCGAGCGGTAACGGCGGTGTCGGACGCGACAACGATAACAAGACGCAAAAAGTTGCCAGCACTGACTTGAAATTTTCATTCCCCGGTGCGGACGATTGGCAGCGAGATGGAGAACAGCAGCCGAGCGGTGCCTTGACGACAGTGACGACGGCGTTGAGGCCCCGTGTGACGGCCCGGGTCAGCAGGTCGGGCGACGGGCGCCGTTGCGACGCCAAAGGAATCCTGAAAATGGCGACGTAATCGGTATCCGCGCGTTTTTACTACCTGGCGAGTGGCGGCTGTCTGGGACGGAAAGGATCCTGGCATATTACGTCGTCGCGTAGGGGGACGGGCGAGCGCCACGCGCGCCATCTGCTATGGCGACGCCGTCGTCTGCCGTCATGTTGCCGCCATGCCGGGTGCGGCGAACGATCCACGCGTCCGTGATCGTTCAACTGGAAAACGCGCATCGTGAAAATCGTCTACTTTTCTTCCGCTGAAAAATGATGTTCCTTTCTTCCACAGAGAAAATGACTGATGATTGAAAATAATTCCCTTTCCTCGCCGATATATATTGAGCTATTTTTGTTGAAATCTTAAGGCGGTTCTCATTAAATTCAAATCGAATGATGTCTATATTTATCAATGATTAATTTTGAATATTTTGATCTTGATTAAACTCACTTTTTTTTGTCTCTAGTTCCAAGAATTTTGTCTATTTCTATCAATGCGGGTTAACTTTAATCTTTGTTTAACTTCTGATCCCTTTATTTCTAATTCTTTTACCATTAGAAAAAGATAAAAGTAAGTTAAACTGAGATTAAAGTTAATCTACAGTGGTAGAACGTAACATTCGAGATAGATTAAAAGTAAGTTAAACAGAGTTGATCTACATTGCAGAAATGAACAGATAAGCGAGTTCAACTCGCTGTTGGAAGTTCAGAATAGCTTATAGCGTTAATTTTTCAGCTTTGTATTTGCAAGGATCTATTCTTTAACGTTACATCTTCTTCACGTTCGCACGTTATAATAATTTTGTATAGTTTTCTCAAAATTGCGGTCGTTCATGCGACCTACGCGCGTCCGCATCATGCGCAATCATCTCGTCGAATTTAAGGCGGTTCACAAGCAACTTTACGCGAACAGCTGAATAAAGACGAATCCAATTTGATATTAATTGCAAATTAAGATATATTGAACAACGTAACGTTTATCAATTAACGACTCTTGATGACTGGTATACATCCACTTTGAGATAACTTAAATTATTAATTGTCGGCGCATTAAACTCGAGATTTTTCAGATTACTTCAATATATGATAACGCAATTGTTCTACAGTCTAATAAAATACAAAACTTGAAATAAAAGAAAAACTAAATGTTTCCAAACATATTCCCGTCGTATTTTTCTCCTTAGATACAATCGCAATCATTTATTTGACTTCACGCGAGACGCGAGTCGTTTAGTCATGGTCGATTTAAACAATGTCTGACGATCAATTTAACTGCTTGGATATTGATTAATAAACCTAGTTTGACATGATTCTCCTTCGGTTATATCACAGATGTATCATCATATTTCAGAAGGAGACAACGGATCGCTCATCGCTATTAGCGTCAGTCGTACTTTCGAGTTTCGAGTTTCGAGGCGTCGGTGCTAACTCGGGCCAGGTTAGCGAGCACGTGTTGAAGTCGCATGACGATCGCGGTCGTGACGAGGCGACCACGCGTTCGCTCAAATGAACAAAAATGAATCGATGAGCAGATACGGGCCTCTCGTCGGCGCGATCGACGAGGGGACGAGCAGCGCGAGATTCCTGGTACGAAGAATCCTCGTCTCGCAATGTATCAATGATCATAATGAGAGATAAGCCGCTTTGCCGCGGTTCTCGCGCTTTACGGTTATCGCGATCGGAAGTCCGAGGATGCACGGTATACGACACTACTGTGATAAATCTGTTCGAAATATTCGTATAATTAAAATAAATTGTTGAGTTGTGTGTGTGTGAAGACACGTTGAAAGCGGTATGTAGTTTAATTTGTAACATGGATGATGATGTTTGATCCAAAAGAGACTTGTGACAGATCTGTTATCTTTCACTTGTTCATTCCTTCCTTCGTTATTGATCATTGATTGTTGTTATTAAAGTAATTATGACATAAGGTTGTGAGATACGTGCTTACACATTTCTTCTCCCTTACAATAATACAGGTTTTTGCAGCAGACACAGCTGAGGTCTTGACGTATCATCAGGTCTCGATATCGCAGACATATCCAAAAGAGGGATGGGTTGAACAGGACGCTTTAGAAATATTGAGGGCAGTCAGGGAATGCCTCAAGCAAACTGTATTTAACTTGAAGCAGTTGACGATAGATCCAGCTGACATAGTTGCGATTGGTATAACGAATCAGAGGGAAACTACAGTTGTGTGGGATTC